ACAACTTGGCAATAAAAAGAAACAAATTACTCATATATGCACTGACATAGATGAATGTTAAAAATGTAGCTGCTAAGTGAAAGAAACCAAATACAAAAGGCTACAAACTGTGTGATTCAATTTATATGACCTTATGAGAAAGATAAAACTATAGGGACAGAAAACAGATCAATGGTTGCCAGGGGTGGGGAGTAAGAGGACTGTTTACAAATGGGGCAGAGGGAATAATGTAGGGTAATATATTCTATACCTCATTTTAACGTAATTACCTCTTTAAAGGCCCTTTCTCCAAATATAGTCACATTCTGAGGTGCTGGAGGGTAGGACTTCAACATAAGAATTTTGAGGGGATACAAGTCAGCCCATAACAGTTCTATTATTTAGGAATGATATCTATTTCTGAAAAGGTAGTTAATTACAACCATTTTAAGAGAGAAATTAGAAAATTTAGTCTGCAAACCATTCAAAACACAAATGAATTTTCAGAGAGTGAGTTGAACTTTTTTGTTTAAAGTGATTAATGGCCCTTTTTGAAGATGAGCAACTGTGGGCAATGCATTGCTCTTGATTATATGCTAATTGTCTGATTGATCATGCTTGATTTCTACCTTATTCCTAAGTTCATCTCTTAGCCTTACTCCATCTTTGGACTCTACTAAATTCCTAATCTCCAGCTCACCACAGATCCTCACTTTAAGGGTAGTGGATGGAAGACTTTCCAGTCAAGATCTTCAAAATATGGATAGTATGATGCTTAATATGATCATTTATGTAAAACACTTATGAAAGCAAAATAAATACATTACTATCATGTCTTCAAAAGTATGATATATGGAAGAAAATATGGACTCACATCTTTAAAAAAAAAAAAGAATATCTGAGTCCTGTAAAACCAAAGCTGACATATAATACTCAGAACTGTGGTTCAGATGACCTGGGCTTTAGTCCTTTCTGTATACTAGAATCAGCATGATCAGGTGAACATATTTTACTTCTTGGAATCTCAGTTGTTTTACCTATAAAACATAAATGCATGGATTTTGACAATCTATTCACAAGAGGAGTCATAAGGAATTATAGTCCTGAAATATGTTATACTTCTTAGAAAAAAGATCTTTTAGATACTCTCCAATGTTAATACCAATACGAATAATAACCATGATAGTACTGACTATTATTTATTTTGTATTTATCACGTGCCAGGAACTATACCAAGAGACTTATATAATCTTGAGCACTCTCATTAGTATTCAAAATAACCATGAAAGGTAGGTATTATCTCCACTTTACAGAGGAAGAAAGTGAAATTTAGGTTAAGTTCCCCAACATTATATACGTGGTAAGTGGCAAAGTCAAGACTCAATCCCAGGTGGGTCTAACACCAAAATCTTTGCTGATTTGCTACTGTTACTATGCTTTTTGTTATTGTTATGGTGCTTTTAACAGTACAGTAGAGATTGAAATTTAACAGGAACTATATTAGTTTCCTAGGGCTGTGATAACAAATTATAATAAACTGGGTGGCTTAAAATAACAGAAATTTATTCTCTCAGCTCTGGAGGCTAGAAGTCTGAGATCAAGGTATATAGGCAAGGCCATTCTCTTACTGAAGGTTCCAGGGGAAGATCCTTCCTTCCCTCTTTCTAGCTTCTGGTAGTTGTTGGCAACCCTTAGGGTTCCTTCGTTTGTGGCAGCATAACCCCAATCTCTGCCACCATCTTCACGTGGCCATCCTCTCTCTTTGTGTATCTGTATATCCAAATTTCCCTCTTCTTAAAAAGACACCAGTTACTGGATTAGCGCTCACTCTAATCCAGTATGAAATCATCTTAAATTGGATAACATCTGAAAAGATCCTATTTCTAAATAAGGTCACATTTACAAGTTCCAGGTAGACATGAATTTTGGAAAGACACTCTTCAGCCCAGTACAAGAGCCATTAAGTAGACAAGAAATGGGAAAACTTTTGCAGTACGTTTGATTATGGTTTCCTTAAGCTTTGGAGACTAATGAAAGGTTATGTGTTTTGAGGCTTTCATTTCTTTGCCTTGTTTTTTCTTTGACTTTGGCAAATAATGTTCCTACTGACAGTCATATACTGTATTGTGCTCTACTTTAATAGTGCAGCATAATTTAAACAAGTCACAGATTCACAGGGTTAGAAGGGACCTCAGATAGTCATTAGCCTATTGGTCTGTTTCTAGGCAAGGCTCACTGATTTATGTCAGATAGTTGGGTGTCTGACACTTTCTTTTTATTTATTTATTTTTTAATTTCAACATATTATAGGTATACAAATGTTTAGGTTACATATATTGCTTTTGCCCCACCCAAGTCAGAGCTTCAAGTGTGCCCATCCCCCAGATGGTGCATACCACACTCATTAGGTGTGAATATACCCATCCCCTCCACCCCTGCCATCTGCCCAACACCGGATGAATGTTACTACTATATGTGCACGTAAGTGTTGATCAGTTAATACCAATTTGATGGTGAGTACATGTGTCTGATACTTTCTGAAAAGGGGAATCCACAGCACTTAGTAACCTGCCCTACCATTCAGAAGGTTTTTACAAGTCAAACCTTTGAATTTTTTGTTCTAATTGAATATTGTTTTTGTTTATGGCTTCCACTGTCTCTGAGAATCCTGACATATTAAAAAAGTAACAACTAAGATTGTTAATATTTAACATTTACAAAGCAGTTTACTGCTATATACTTTCATTAGCTTACAAGAAATCTGTAAGCTACTGTTATTAAATTAGCCTCATTTTATAGGAATTGAGGTTCAGAAAGTCGAGGCCCTTTCCAAAGGTCAAAGAGCTAGTAAATGATAGAGTTGGAACTCTAACACAGATCTTCTGTTGTATAAATCTTGTGCTTGGTCCCATTATGCCCTGCTGCAGAAGGAAGAAGCAAAACTTAATCTTATTCTTTACTGTGTTGATAAATCTAAGAACTATCAGGAGGAAAGTGCTTTGGAATCACAGAATCCTAAAGTCAAAAGAGACCATAGAGATCATACATTGTAGTAACAATCTTCTAGAGAACTCAAATCCTGGTAAATGGATTGATGCTATCAGGAAGGCTTTGAACTGAATTGGGTGCAATGGCAAGCGCTTGTAGTCCTAGGTACTCAGGAGGCTAAGATGGGAGGATCACTTAAGCTGAAGAGATCAAAGCCACCCTGGGCAACATAGCAAGACCCCACTCTAAAAAGTAAATAAAAGAAAAGAAAAGTAATGTAAAATACAAGTGTAAGTTTGGATAGGTGCATGAGCTTTGAAGTCAGACAGTTCTGAGTTTGAATCCTACCACTTACTAGCTAGATGAACTGGAATAAGTTACTTAATTTCTCTAAATTTCAGTTTTGCTCTGTATGAAATGGATATAAGGGTATCTACATCATTGTGTTTATGTACATATTGAAGGATATAATGTATATATAATAATACTTAGCACAGTACCTGGGACAATACCTTGTATTGTTATTCCTATCATGCTAAAGCATCATCTAAGCCCCCACTCATCTTGAAAGTGTGTTGTGGAAAATATTTATTTATAATTATTTATTAATAATATTTTTATACAGAAGATGATCTCTGACCTTAAGAACCATGCACATGAATAAGAGGCAACTCTGGACTTGTTCTAACACTATAATCATAGTAGCAAACCTTTATTGAGTCATCAGTATGTGCTTTCTTGACCACTGTTCTAGGTGCTTTACATGCATTAACTTGTTATATTTTCACAACTCTATGAAATGGGTAGTATTATTATTTCAATTCTACAGAAGAATAAAATGGGCACAGGAGGTAAAATAATTTATTAGGAAGTAGCAGAGCCAGGATGTGTGTGTGTATATATATATTTGAGACAGATAGAGTACAGAGGCATCATCATAGCTCACTACAACCTCAAACTCCTGGGCTCAAGCGATCCTCCTGCCTCAGCCTCCCGAGTAGCTGCAACTACAGGCACGCGCCACCATGCCTGGCTAATTTTTTCTATATATTTTTAGTTGGCCAATTAATTTCTTTCTATTTTTAGTAGAGACAGGAATCTCGCTCTTTCTCAGGCTGGTTTCGAACTCTTGACTTCGAGCGATCCACCCGCCTTGGCCTCCCAGAGTGCTAGGATTATAGGTGTGAACCACCACACCTGGCCCAGAGCCAGGATTTGAATTCAGAGACTCTAAGTCCAGAACATACACTTTTAAATACTATGGTCTACTATCTCCCAACTATTATTCTCTGTTGCCTCTATAGTCAATGCCTCTGTTAAATGACTAATAGCAAACTAGAGCTTTAAAATAGCATAATATGGATGCTAGGTAGGTTAATGAATTATAACAATTAATTTCCATGAAGTGAGAATTAAAAGTGGCTATGTAAAGTGGCTACATAAATACTCATGATTGTTACTGATAAAATAACATAAAGCTACAGATTTGTTCAGACTCATGCTTACCTCATACTTTTTTTCAATGGAAAATGCCTCAATCTCTTTAGAAAGATAGTATAAACTGCAGGTCAAGCCAAGGTGATGGTGAGGAGTAGAGAGGAGCACAGTAAATATACTAGAACTGTGATGGTGAAGGAGTTTAAAGTCCCCTGGGGGGCCCTTACTCCGTGAAGAAAGGATGGATTGACAGAAAGGCAAGATATCTAGGACAACGGTGATGAACCAAGAAAGAGCCTAAGGTCACTATGGCAGACAGAGTGGTTACTTGTGTCCTTCTCTACCATAAATCTTAGTAATTTCCAATCACTTTTATACAGCCAACTATAACAGCCTTACTGTATCATGCACTGCTCCATTTCCAGGTAAGCTTCCTGAAAACTGTCATCCTAAACTTGCCATTTACCTAAGTATATTCCTAGGGAAGTTGCTCAATTAGGCTTTTATGCTCAATTACTATAGGCTTTTATGTAATTTACTTTTAGATAGAAAGAAGGATACAGTCCTGACCAATGCAATTTACAACATCATCTTACCTTTTTCTGCTGGGCTCAAAACAGTCACTGTGGGAAAGAGGGGGGAGAGAGAGAGATCAAAATTAGTTATATTTAAAAATTTCTTTTCTAATTCATTTTTCCACAGCATCATTTTTGAGCAATTTGTATGATGGTACTTTAGGAAACCACCAGCCAAAGATGTGGAAAGGCAAGGATGATTAAATTCCATCTTTTGCTGCCTTCCTTCATCTTAAACTTTCAGTGATCAAGAATATCTACTCATTTAACAAATACAGGTTATAACCCGATTTTTTTAAAAAAATCCAACAAATGGAAACACTCAAGCTATATAACATGGCAGTAAGAACTTAAAAGTTGGTAAATTAGGAGATGATTACTTCCCCAAAGTATTCACTTGTCTTTAAATACCAAGTTTCTTTTGTACATTTTGGAGGTAATACAGTGAGGATGTTGCATGCCAGTTCTGAAGTCAGACTGGGTTAAAAGATCATTTGCACTATTTTGTGACCCTGGGCAAGTTCCTTAACTTCCCTACCAGTATCTATCTCACAAGGTTCCTTAAGGATTAAATGAGTTAATACACGTAAATACTGCTTAGCATAGTATCTAGTAAAACACAAGTATTTAATGAATACTAATTATTAGTACCTTTTAACTTAGATTTCACAGAGTATCAGAAATGGACAGAATTTTAGCAATTATCTGGTTTATCTATCTCATTTTGTGGATGGGAAAAATGGACTAGAGTAGTATCAAATGATTTTCCCAAGGTTATAGAACAAGTTAGTGTTAGAGTTGGGACTAGATTCTAGCCTCCAGGGTTTTTTTCCAAGTACTGTGTCTACCTTCCTCAATCCTTCTTTGCTGGCTTACTGTGATATATACATAACTTGTGTTCAGAATGTCATTTGTACAAACTAAGGCCTACCTGTCTTTACTCACCTGTCTTTACTATGTGTGTGCATTTGTCCTAGGTGTTAAGGTAAATAATTTATGAGGCATATCTCTCAATCTTAGTAATAAGCTGTTTAATTAAGATGGTTTTCCTACAAAACAATCAACATTTAAGAATCAGAAAAATGGGCAAAAAAATCCAAACACAATGCAACTATGTTCTAGGGGCTATTTCCTTAGTCATTTCATCGACTGATAAAATTTTCTCTTTCTCTTCATATGCTGCTCTATTTTTGTTGAGTCTTTAAAAATTCTCCTTTTAATGATTATTTGAATGGATATTGTTTAAACCGTTACATTTTGTCTGTGCTAAAAATCTGATCAGATGATGTTTTCTTCTTTTTTTCTAATAAACCTGCCTACAGACTGATACTAATTCATTTTTTTTCTAGTTAAAGAATCCTGGTTAAGAATGCTTGAAAGAGGCACATACTCTACTTTGACAATACAATAGAAGGGTAAACAAGAAGCCTTGATCCGTCAGCCTGGGACTTTGTGATTTTGTATATGCATATTGTATGACTGCATTGATTTCAATAGGCCCTTAATTGGGCTAACAACATCTCTTTAAAATGGAGTGAGAGAGCGCAGAGTTGCTTGAAGACCAATATTAATAAAGAGTAGCTGATAAATTGCTGTTTAGTACATCTCCTTCTACCTCTGGCTGAACACTTGTTCTAAACAAGAGGTGGAAGTCCTAACTCCCATTTGCTTAGTCACCTGTTAACAGCATTGTGGGTGAGGGAAGATCACCTAGTATTTGTAGATGTTGGGATGAGACAATGTGTATATAGAAGAATGAGTGGGAACCAGTGAATTCTCCAGGTGGAAGACAACTATCTTTCAGTAATGACAGGACTCTTATGTGCAAGTGTGACTGGTTTATTTGATCCAAGAGCAGAGCACAGAAATAGGACTAATGGGTAAAGGCTACGGGTTAATACATTTTAGCTGAATATAAGAAAAATGCTAAAAATGGTGAAAAATGACAACAGCAATGACCAACAGCCTTGGAAAGGGGTGTTTTCCACTACAAACACCTGAAAATGTTGTAGAGGACATTCAGATGTTAGTTTGGCAGTGGACTTGACTTTTAAAGACTTTTTCACACCTGAAATTCTGTAAGAAGTCAGTAAGTCTAAGGGAAAAATATTTTCTTGCAATTTTCCCTGTGGGAAGTTGCATACTTCCGAGGAAAAAAGGGGGCCTTTATTCTAAAAGATTGTGGTGCTTATCTTGGTAGTTCTGCTTTTCCTTTATTTTTCTAATGTTGCCTTTTGTACTGTTAATGGAAAAGGCTAAAATACTTCCATCACATTTAAAATGAAAATGTTACAAGAGTCACACTAAACTCTTACAAAATGAATACTTAATGCAAATCTTAGGTAAGTGTACATTTAGCCACTGTGTGGGTAACTTGCCATGCATGATTTCAGAGTGATGTGGTGATACATGTAATCACACCTGCTGTGTTTCTTCAAATTTCAGTTCACTACTGGGGAGTTAAAAGACTGGAGTTACCACCAAATAGCATTTTGCACTGTCTCTCCTTTTTTCTCTCATCTATTCACTGATTCTTTGCAGCTAGGTATACAGAAAAGTTATGGAAGGATAGAGTATATGAAATGGCTTTTCATCACAGATAACTTGTGTTAAAACCAAAGCACATCTCATCAATTCCTTTAAGTAGATGCATATTGTATGGGCCACAGAAGGGTATGGGTAGAACAAGCCTAATTTGGGGCTATAGGTGGAAAGTCAACAATCATAGAAAGGACATGGAAGAAACTCTACAGCAGTGCTGTCCAATAGATATATAATGTGAGCCAGGTAGTTTAAATTTCCTAGTAGAAACATTTAAAAAAGTTAAAAGAAAACAAGTAAAATTACTTTTAATAATATATTTTATGTAATCCAATATATCAAAATATTTTCATTTCAACATGTTATATAAAAATTATTAATGAGATATTATATATATATTGCATTATGTTTTTGAAAGCTGGTGTGTATTATATGCTCCAGCACATCTTAATTCAGATGCCACATTTCAAGTGTTTAATGGCCACATGTAGCTAGTGGCTACTGAATTAGTGGAGTTCAAAAGGACTTGTGAAAGGACGGTGGGAAGTTTGAAAATATTAAGAGTGCAGTGAGGCGAGTGCTCACTTACAGAATGAAGTTCTCTTTTATTAATAGTTAGTAACATGTTTGGGGAGAGAGTTTATTGTAATGATGTACAGCATACACTTTGGTGTATATTCATGTTCTGACTCTGACACCTACTTGTTCTGTGACCTTAAGCAAGTTATTTAATCATTCTGTGCCTCAGTTTCCTCATCTATCAAATAAGACTAAAATTATTTATGTTATCAGGTTGTTATAAATATTAAATGATAAAATATGTGTAAAGTACATGGGTGTTTTGCACATGAGTACTCTATTGTTGGCTATTTATATCATTTTTCTGAGAAAGGTGAATTGTTCAGTGAGGTTTTGCAATAGTTTAGGACAAAACAATTCTGATTAAAAAATGTTATGGATTCCCAAAATTACATATGATTGTTTAAAAATAATCTGCTCAATGTCAAAATGAATAACTTGGATTCCCACTTTTTCCCTTAGATGTTTCTTAGATTCTAGGTTAGGAGAGGGAACAGAATTTGAAATAGGGAACTGAGATACATTTCTGAGTGTTCTCTGCTGTCAAAAGCAAGCTAATCATGCCAGTCTTCATTTACTTCTCTGAAACAGTTACTCATATTAGCCACTCATTTACCTTTTAGGCAGTCATTCTCAAACCTAGATTATCTTAATAATTATTTAAGGAGCATGATAAAAATATAGATTCTAAGGCTCCCTTGATTTAACAAGTCTCTGAGTGGAAGTACAGGAATTTGTATTTTAAAAAAACTCAGCAGGTGATTCTGATTATCAGCCAGGTTTAAGAACCATTAGAATTATTTTAGAAGCTTGGTATGATACCTTATTAGTTAGGTGTGATACATTTAATTGTTTGACATATGAATGACATAAAAATATTTTAGATGTGGTAATACCATGATTCATATAGGGTTGAATGGACAGCTTTTACTTCTGTAGAAACTTGGTTTCTAGAAAATGTTCCTTTTGGTTTTTTGCCTTATCAGTTTTCATTTCTTCTGACTCTCTTTGATGAATTTCTTCCTTTTGAGTACAATTATTTCCTAGACCTTTTTATTTTTAAATCTCAAACTGGATACTGTTGATCATCCAAAATGACAGAGTAGGGAATTCTAGACTTCCATCCCTCCCCCAAAACAGCTAATAAGCTGGCAAAAACTGTCAGACTCAACTTTTGCGGAACTCTGAAATCTAGTAAAAGTCTTACAACAACCAGAGGGAAAGACTTGATGAAGAAAAGAGCTGTTGCTTTGTAGTAAGAGGATGTTGTGACATTTAAAATAGGCTGCCTACCATCCTCCACATCCTAGCTCAGCAGAGGCTGTGAGGATGGTAGCCCACATTCGTGGTGCAGGTTTCCAATACCAGAGGGTGCAATAAGGACCATACGCTCAAAGAGCAGTGGTTGTGAGCCTCACCCATCTGGTAGCTCACTCAAAGACCAATGCAAAGGCTTCCCTGTGTTTTGTCTGACTCAGAGTATTTCCAGGGATAGGCCAGCTTCCTGGGTGGTTTTTTGTCAGAAGCACTTAAAGGGACAGGTATTGACTACAGCAGTTTGGGGAAAGGGACAACAGTTGGCAATACACAGACCAAAAAGCTTGGGAAGAAAAAGGTTAACAAAGGTGGGGGAATGAAGGCGTTTAAATGCTACCATGTGTACTATAGAACTGAGAAGGGCATGCACACACCCAAGACGAGATGCATGCTCAGAAAAGGCCTAAAAAAACCTTTAGCTTTCACTTCTAGCTGGCCTTCAGGCACTGCACAAGGAGTGAAGGTTAAGGCACAATTAAAAATAGCCTGGCTAAGGGGTTAAAGAAGTTCTCCAATATAGAGCCAATTTGCAAAGCCTGAAAAGTACATTTTTTTCTCTTTTCTATTTCTTTTTTTACTTCAGGTATTCATAAAATCTCTGCCAAACTAAC